ACTCATGCATTGCCACTGGAAATAATGTCAACAACGCTCGACTATGATTGGTCCGATTTCGCCAATCACTGATCTCGACGCACCAGGTGCACGCGTCCGTAGTTGATAAATGATGCGATTGAGGTGACAAAAGTCAGAACCTCAGCCACACGTAGGATCGGGTAGTCGTCAGCAATGGAGGCATTCCTTGGTACCTGGAAGATGGAGAAAAGTGAGGGTCTCGAAGATGTAATGGAACGCCTTAAAGTGGACATGCAGCTTCGCAAGATGGCCACTTCGTTAAAACCCGACCTTATAATCAGTGACCTGGGTGACGGCAAGTATAGTATGAGATTGGACAGCCCGTCTAGCAAGTCCGAATGCTCCTTCAAACTGGGTGAAAAGTTCAAGGAGATGACTCCGGATAAACGTGAGGTCTCGTCATTGATCACATTGGAGAACGGGGTGATGAAACAGGAGCAAGTTGGCGAGGACATCACCGTCCACATTGAACGTGTGGTTGAAGGCAATGAGCTGAAAGCGGTAGGAGCAATTTGTGAGATGTTTGGAGCACAACTTTTATGCTTTCCTGTTGTTTAATCTGTAATGTGTTCTCATTTTAGACCGGAAGGGTGGATAAAGCGGTTTGCGTGCTAACCTTCACAAAAGTTGCGTAAAGGAGGTTCTCATTCCAAAGTTACTTCCCTCCTCTCCATCCACTCCCTCCATTCCCACACCTTTCTCTTCCTTTCCACCCATACTCCTACCTTGACGTGAAATACAAAAGCACCTCTTATCTTTGTGCATTTAAATGAAGTAGTGCTGATTCAGGAGGTGGTTGAGAACTTGCTGTAGTGATGTGCAATTAGTAACAGAGGGTGTAATATGCGTGAGTGTGAATGTGGTCGAGCGACTAGATCCTCATCTCAGTGTTGCACAGAGCTGTATATTTGTCGATTGTACTGGCATCCACGTAAGTAGGATCCGTTTTTCCCTTGACCTTACCAACAGGCACCCTGCGCGATTCAACGCGTTCACGGGGTCTCAGGACTGTGGCCATAACCTCACAGATAGTGGTGAGCAACTATTGCTAGTATGGTGTGGAAATCACTTGGGTATGTGCTGAGGGTGTTTTTCAATCATATAGGCGTTTAATTCTCTAAGTTCTGACTGTGAGCATGAAAATAGTGTTAGTAGACATGACAGAAGGCTTATTGGGTTAGAATGACGGCGAGAAGGATGATTGAGTAGGTGGTTGGGTGACTTGATGGATCATTGTATGGATTAATGAATAGGTGGGTGATAGGGTCTGTGGAAAGGGAGATGTGAGATGTGGTGTTGTCAAGTGGATTGAGGCAGAATGGATGACCGATGAATTAATGAATGGGGCGAGGATGCATGTGATCGGAGTGCTATTGGGAGAGGTCGGTTGATAGGGTTGTCTTCTTTACCACTGTCATGTCACTCAATTTACTGGTCATCCACTAATCAAGTGCAGTGGGATGATGAGTTCAATTGCATTTATCTACTCCTGAAGTTTTGGTGCATTGAGTGTTGAGTGTAGCCGATTAACTTGAAAGCTTCTGCGGTATTGTAGATATCAACTGAAAGCTGTTAAATCATTAAGCGCCTTTCCCTTGTCAACGTGTCACGTAGTGTGCCACCTTTCCAATCGATCACCAAACATTTGACAATGCAAATACGCAATTGCATTATCACTAGTATTAGTGGATGAAGAACAATCCACTCAGTAGCTATTTACTCAAACTCAATACAAATTATTTTAATAATAAAAATTGGCCTTGCATAAATGATGCAGGCAAGTTTGGTTGCATGTTACAGAAGAGACTAATTGAAAAGCGATGCGAACTGTTTTGATGGCAGTAAGACCGACTTTGCTATGAGCCAAACAAAATAGAAAATTATAAATTCACCAATTATAATACACAAATCCAGTGCTGGACGTCATCAAAGGGGGACCTACGTTGGGGGAGATGTTTCGGTGGCTTTTCTTTTTTCACTTGGCGGCACAAGAAAAGTTAATCCCAAAAAGCATTTGAGAAGTCCTGAAAAAAGGAACTAATTACACTTGGCACAGTCTCACAAACGCTGGCATGACTCTCGCGGGCGTGCGTGTGGAAATCAAGATGTGGATGTGCAGTGACCAGGAAGATGGAAAAAAGAATACGTAAAACCGTCCCATCATGTGCATCACAAAGTGAGAGTGGCTTTACAAATTTTACTGCCTCAAGGCCTACACTGCTCTTCTTCATCAACTGCACAATAGAAGGGAAATAAAGGACATCTGTCCTCATGACTGCTGGATGCGCACGAAGTTCCACGTAGTCATGAGCGTGATCATACCGCCATGAGTTCG